GCTGAAAATTGAAATTTGACTGAAATTTTCGATTTTTCCATTTTTTGCATTTTTTTCGCACCTTCTCATTTTTTTTTCTTTATCTTCCCACACACACTCAAGTCCAAGAGCTCAACTCTTTCAGACAAGCCACGCCCCTTTTTTCAGCCTCGATGATTTTTGGCAAGGATAGAGATCAAGGATTCTGGAATTATAGTCTTGGGGCGGAGACTACCATTGGGGCGGAGTGCCGGATTTTCAGCCAAGTTTCAAACAAATTGGGCGGAGCAAGAGGGTACTATAAAAGCCATTTTTCATAGTGGTGCAAAATGTCTGCCTCTGTCTATACCTTCGACGTATAGCTCTTCTCCGACCTCCGGACCTCAAAAATGGCCTACCTCACCATGATGCTCCTCATCTTCACCTTGGCTTTCACCACCACCATCTCTGCCTCCCACCACCATGCTCCAAGCTCCAAGGATGATCACTCCACCCACCTCGTCTTCAACTTCGACTTGGGAAGTCTCCTGGGATCCCGCTCCACCATCCAGGATACCGCCACCGTCACCGACGAAGCCGCCGACTCCACCGCCGCCAAGTCCAGAAGCCCAAGAGCTGCCCGTCGCCTCTGCGGCATGCAGCTCAACATGTACGTCCAACAGTACTGCGGAACCGGATGCACCGTTGGTGAGTTATAGGGAAATTAGAGATGAGCAATAACTAAAATTCAATTTTCAGAGTCCACAGAGGACCTCTCCAATGCCTGCTGCCACAACAAGTGTGATGCCGCCGACTTCAAGCGGATCTGCTGTCCGACTCCGGCTGAGCAATGAGGTTCACGCCTTATTGCTCCACAGGCTTCTACAATTCTGGATACTTGGACCCCTGGACTTCTCTGATCTCTTTTCTCGCTTCAATAAATTATTTTTTGTTGAAAAATACTGTGTTCTTGTTGTCTTGAATCTTTTTCAGAGTCCTTCCTCGAAAGCTTGGGAATTCTTCTTTGAAAGTCAATCTGTTTCGGAATCCTTGGAATTCTGGAGTCTTGGTCTTCTTGCATCCAAGGTTTTAGAATCTTTGATATTCTTGAATCCACGATTTCAAAATTCTTGGTATCCTAGAATCCAAGAATTCAGAATCCTTGGTCTTCCAGAATCATTTCAAGTCTTGCTGAAACTTGTGTATTGCTTTCAGAACTCTGGAAAATCTCCTCTAACTGGAAAAAGAGGAAAATTGGAATTTATAAAAATCCAACTGGGAGCATTCAACTGACTGGAACATTCGAATTCAAGAATACAAAGTTCGAAGGCTTCTAGAATTTTTGATTTCTAAATTATGAAACTTCAGAATCTTAGCCTCCAGAATTTAACTGTACTACATTGTCATGGCAAAAGGCATACCATACCTCCAAAAAAACACACAGTGCACTTTGAGCTCAAATATCTCGGTTCCTAAAAAATATAGCAAAAATCTGGAAACTGATAAAATGTTGCTGAAACTATGAGAAATAATTTATCAGTTGACAGATTATTGATATCTATCATAGGAGTTGAGATAATTGAGCTCAAAGTCCGGCGGGTAGAGTACACTCCTCTCTCTCTCTCTCTCTCTCTCTCTCTTTTTCTTTACAGTTAGAAATACATTACTATAGGTATTTGAAACACATAAAGGAACATTGATGGCATAAAAACAATATTGGTTAGTCCAAAAAAGAAAGAAATCAAAAAAAATCAAAAAAAAAAGAAGAAATCAGCAAAACACCGGGCGCTTTGCCCTTTTATACGATGTGTGTGTGGTCTGTCTCTCTCGTGGTATATACAATTTTGAGATTAAGCATATAAGAGTGCATGCAGGTGGTGTATACACTCCCGTGTGATCCAGAGGGGGAGGAGATTCTTCCTGCAAAAACTTGGAAACTATGGTTGTCTTGGAAACTGAGGCGCGCTTGGATGTTTCTTCCCAAATATTGATGTCCAGCTATTCTAAAAAGTGTTTCGGTGTTCAGAAGCTCGTTTTTTAGTGAACTGAGAACTTGATGAGAGAACAGAAGTATCCGAAAAAATAGAAAAATAGAAATTGGGTTCAAAACAGGAAGATTACTACAGCAAACCTGGTCATTTGTTTGCAACCAGCAAACTGGTGCGCCTTCAGCGCGATCTACTATTTTAGGGTTTCGCCCGCCGAGTTTTTCAAAAGATGACAGCCTGACATGAGGACCAACAGACGCGTGTAGCGTTTTATATTTAAGGAAGATAAAATGGGAAACTTCTGGAATATCTTCCGAAGCTTCATTGTAATAAATAACACGATATAACGGATACGAACAACTCGATTAGAGATTTGGAGAGAGAGGGGGGGGGGGAGAGAGAAAAGTTTTCCAACGATGTCTGGACCATGGTGTTCTGCGCCGTTCTCCAATTAAAGCCAGGTGGATTCATTTCCTTTTAGTGTTTCTCTCCATATTGAACACATGGTCAACATTGTAAGTGGTAATTGTGAGGACCCAACTAGAAAAAACTAATATTTTCAAATTGAATTTTCACTAATCTTTGTAGCTAGAGTATGCATTCTACCGTGACGGTGTACAACGCTTAATGTCACTCTGCGTACAGCTGTCGTCCTCGCCTTTATGTATGCAATCGGGCGTGCGCTTTCTCTTTGCCCGCGTGGCTCAGTCGGTAGCGGCGCCGCACCCTCAATCATCGCCCTCACAAGTTCTCAATCATCGCCCTCACAAGGGCATCTTTGAACGAAATTTCGAGAACATTATTTTTTCATGTCCCCCCACCTTTAAAGGAGGACTCCGACCAAAAATTTTTATTGCATTAAAATGTGTTAAAAGTTTTCTATTTTTAGAATATTATTTCGAAGAAATTCAAAAAAAATCCGAAATCCCCGAAAAACGGCGTGAAAAGGAAGAAAATTCAA